GTCCTAGCTAAGGAATCTTGTTGCCCTATTTGACACAATGTCTGTACATTGAATATTCCAACATGTAGTCTATAGCGGGGTTTCAGGAGACCAGAAATGACGTTCCGTGAACTCGCATCGTTTGCATTAGCTGTGCAGTGAGATAAGGAAATGTGAGTAGAGTTAGTTTTGGAGAGAAGAGAGGTACTAGGGGGTGTAGGAAGGATTTGATTTTGACCAATTTGGTCTTGCATGCTGTTACGTGTATGAGTGCGGTTGTCACTTCCCGGCTGCCCACACCGTGGAAGGCTAAGCAGTGACAGAAGAATACAATTCAATAACAGAAGTTGTTGAATTGTACAAAGAAAGATCTTAATACGTCGTGTTCAATCATCATATTATTAGGTTTCATAGTTAGTGTGTTTTAAAATCCACTGATAGTCTATGGAGTATATATATATAATGATTGATTTTTGTTTATGAATATTTCAGATGTAATATTATTTGTCTGTCAAGTATTATTACAAAACACGATTTGTGATTCATTGGGTATAGCATTACTAATTTCAGCTTTTTCGTGTTTGAATAGTAATTTATAATTTCAAAAATTACAAACTATTAAGTGACTTAAAATACCATTTTCAACGAAAATCATTCACGGTATTAAATGGAAATCAAAAATACAAGTTATGGAGGATTTTTAAATGAATTCAAACACTCCGACACATTATCAATTACAAGTTAGACAGATAAAACGCAGAACTTCGTACATAGGTACATCAGTTCAAGTTGCCATACCACGTCAGCACACAGACGTAACTGTCAGTTCAAATCCCACAGTGGTAGAGATCGTAGAATTATTAGCAGTAATGGAGAAGATTAGGGTTCGAAGATATGATTCGAGAGGTATAATTCAGTGAGATAAATTTAGAAGGAGAAGGATAAAGATTATGAGGAATTCAGAAGGTTAGAATTAGAGAGAACACAAAGAGTGGATGCACCTGCGCCATTGCAAGCGATTCTGAGACATATCGTTCAATGTCTCTAACCATCAGTGACTTTCATCCCGCGGACCCCAACCATGTAACCTACATCTATCAACATGACTCAGTCCACTTGTCAGTAACTTCATGGATTCTAATTACGAGTTAGAATTGAAAGGAATAAGGGTTGACTTGGTGATCGATCAGTTTGTCATTTGATGAGTTAATTTATACAACTATACATTTAGTACCAAAAACAACAAACTAACTAACTCATTAAACACACATACACGAACATGCATTCACATGCAATGTATAAAAAGTGTACACATTGAATGAAAATTGAAAATGATCATATGAATCAACAATCAGTACAAAAAATTAATTAATACAATTAAAAAAAAATTAATACTTTCAATTGTCAAACTGTCTATTTGATCAGACATAAGAATAGATTTGTAACATGAATAATAATACTATGACGCTGTTACAAACTAGTTGTACATCATACATTTTATAATTCTTATGATTTTTTTTAACGTGATATGATAAATTGTTCTGTTGGTATTTATTTATATCTAATATTGACGAAATATGAATATATTTTTTGAAATCATTAATTAATCATCGTTGGAACACGATTAGAAACCTGGAAGCACTGAAAGACGGCCGTTTCGTCCCGGTATGGAACTCGTCAGCAACGCGCATCCACGACCCATGCACCCTGCAGGATTAAAATCCTGGACTTTCGGTCTTGTGCGCAAACACCTAACCTCTGGACCACTGGGACGGTATCCAACGGTGTTAATGTCTAACTCTGATTGATTTAGGGATTTTGCGCGACCTCATCCATTTATCTTTAATAGTTACTGCTTATACCTGATAGGTTTGAACAATGATTGATTGATTGATTTCAAAAAATGTGTAAAAACACTAATCTCCATAACTCTAATTGGAAATATGAATAATCTGTAAAGTATTAACAATCAAATCGGATTTATTTTAACACTTTCAACGTTCTGTCTATATATATGAACTCATTGAAATTAATTTTAACTTGACTTTTAATCAATTCGTATTGTAAGGATATGTGTTATTGCATACATTTATTTCTTCCAGGCTTTTATTAGTGTTCAGTTTTGATTAACAAAATTTTTTTTTCTGACAAGTTTGCTAAATGAATATAAGATATAAATTCCTATCCGTTTAGAATAACCCTAGAATAAATTTATTCTACAACTTAAACATAAGAGAAAAGGTGAGAAGTACGGAAAGAACTTATAGAATTACTAGCGACCTTGTGCTTCTGGGAGGTTCGAGAACCATAATAAATATAGTAGAGGTATGGATAAATATTCATTTGAAATCATGACACGTGATTCTTTAATTTCTAGACGTTTCTGCAAACCTTCTAATTACTGCTGGTTAAATGAAATGTTCCCTGCTGTTTCCGAGTCTCTAAAGACTATTACGAGGGATATTTCATGGCCTCACAACATTGTCCTATTCATTTAAAAAAAAACTAATGAAGTAGATGAATTATCAATAACCTGTTGTATTTGTATGAACTATAATTGTGTAAAAACTTTAACTAGGAGTTCAACTGTATTACAGAAAATTATTCGAATAAAATATCTGTAAGCAATATGTGTAAAAAAAATCACATATTGTCTAGTACATGTAAAATAAGTGCAATATTTTCAGTTATTTAGTTAGCTGTAAGGCAGAACTTCGTACATGTAAGTACATCAGTTCATGTTAACATATCTTATCAGCACAGAGATATAATTGTCAGTTCAAATCCAATAGTAGTAGAGGTAGTAAAGGTATTAGAAGTAATCGGAGAGGTTAGGATTAGAAGATATTCAACAAATATGATTCAGTGAGAAAAGTTTAGAAAGTCAAAACTAGAGAGGTTGAAGAATCCAGAAGATTAGGATTTAAGAGAACATAAAGAATAAATTCACCGGTGCCATCGCAAACGGTTTTGAGCCATGTTATTTAGGGTCTCTAACCGTCGATTATTATCGTCTCGCGGACCCCAACCAGGTAGTCGACAACTACCGACATGGCTCAGTCCACTTGTCAATGACTTCATGGATTTCTGCCATGTTTTGGTTTGGCCGCCCCTAGCTACAATGATTATTCACGATCATTGTACTGCTCCAGTCATAAATTGTACATCTTCAAGTATAAGTTCAATTCAACTGGTATTTCATTCATCGGTTAATCAAATGTCTTGATTTACTTATCCTTAGTTTTCTTCCAACTTGCTCTTATATTCATTACTAATGTATATATCTGAGTATGGAATGGTTGGGTGTGTAAAACATAAGTTGCAACTGAACCAGTCAATGTAAGTCCACAACCTTATCAATCGACCTACTGTCGTTACTGTTATAATTCAAATCTATATAATCCTGTAACATAATCAAACACATTTAATCATTTTGATTGAGAACTACATATCGATTACACCAAGAGCACATGTAAGATGAATCACAGCTAAGATAGACTGAATATATCAGCTATTGGTTACCCTATACCTAATCTCAATTGTATCCGAGGTTTGAAGATATTGTGGTGGTTGATGATTTCGGTTGATGTTTTTTGATGAAATCAACAAAAACGAAATCAAGCACATGAATCAATAAACGGATCATCCTACCATACATAAAAGGCATATCGGAGCATACAGCACGACTACTGAAACCATTTGGAATAGGTGTGGCACACAAACCAACAGAATCACTTCAATCAATCCTATGTAGACCAAAGGACAAAATGAAAAATGAAGAAAAACCAAATGTCATCTACAAAATAAATTGCTCAGATTGTGAAAAACACTACATAGGACAAAGTGGACGGTCTCTTCAGCTTTCTTTACGTGAACATTAATTAGCAGTCAAACGCCACGAAAACAGATCAAACGGGCGATACAATCAAAACAAAGGTGCAAACAACAACAGGTTTAAGGTCAACAGCAACCAATCAAGATCTAGGTTAGCAGAACAAGCTACAAGTCAAACGTGGAGAAATTCGAATGCTTCACTTCTATCTGAAGTTTGTGTTGATGATGTTGTTCAGAATAACAATGAAAACTTCACAACCAAAACATACAGCTCAGAGAACCAAACACCACCACCACCACAATCATCCACCTCAGCTACAAAATTTCTCCACTATCTCAAAATCAAGTGAGCGTGACGTTTGAAGATATCTGTAATTCAGTATTAAGCTTAATTACAATTGTTACCCCCAAATGGAGCATTTTTTTAGCGAGTTAATTTTCTACGGAATAAAGTCACCGATCCCATGCCCAAACCTCCTACTTTATTCGGGTTTGAGACTGGCAATAACCCAAGAGGGGCTCAATGCAAATTTGAGTACTAAACAACCTATGTATATCTTGTAACCTGAAAAATTCCACAGATAATCTACATAAAATAAGAATTCAATTAATTTTACACCAAATCAATGTTCATGACTGATAATCTGAATGATTATTTAAGAATTGTATTCATTTCAACTGAATGATGTGAATTACAATTCATCTTTGTGTTTTAAACACTTACAAATGTATACTGATAATCATTATTGGTTTATTTGAAACTTAATGATATGATTTCATTTTCTTCTGTTATCCATTTTTTTTCTTTGCACTGATCAAACAATTCTTAATAATTACAATAAATAGAATAATAACAGAAATCCCATTTGCTATTTGATCAATGACACCTTAAAGTGATTACTGTTATTGATACACCATTATTTTCTGAGTTACAAAACACCTTGAATTGTGTTAGTTCATGAATTATCAGGTTATAAACACGATACTCATTATATATAATTTGATTTATACAAACAGCTTGTACCATTAAACCTTATTACACAAATCGTATAATAATTGTTTCTAAATTGAGTATATCAACTTGTACTTAAGAGATGAGTTTTAAGCTACATGTGAACTTAAAATGCAAATCATTAACGGTGTAAGTAATTAATGTATGTACACAAATATTAAAAAAAACGTCTTACTCTTAAACGCTCTTCAGCTTCTGTTCCACTTAGACCAGTATTTTGAACAAGTTTCCAAAAACATGTATTGTACAGATTATTCACATGACCTTAGATGATAAGTTTGTAGAAGAAAAGAAAAAAACAGTCGTATTTCAAAAAAAAAAATGGTTGAATTTTCAGTATATATATTTTTTTATTTTAGCATAAATAAAATAGTATATTGTAAATGATAAATAAGTAATTTGTAATAGTTCAGGAAATTGAACTGAACATTTAAAAGTGTTTTTTCTTTTTTGTTCACAATAAATGATAAATAACAAATAGAAAAAAAAACTGCACAAATTATAAATAAAAATTTTGAATTTAATAAAAATAAAATTATTTCACCAATATACTAACATTCCTACTGTAATCGCCCATTTATTCTGTTGATTTTTCTATCGTTCTATGTGCATGAGATAGAATATTTCCAAAAAACCAATTTCGTATCGAGTCTTTCAAGTATTTTGTATTGTCAAGTGAGTGTAGTTTTAGTAAACTAAACGAAAATGATTATTGCATTACGGGGTTGTGAAGATTGTTAAGTTACATATTTGAAATCATGAATCGATCAATGTTAGACCACCATTAGAAACCAGGAAGCACTGGATGGCCGTCTAGTCCTGATATGGGACTTATCGGCAGTGCGAATCCACAACTCCTACAACTCGCGGGATTCGAACCTGGGACCTTCGGTCTTGTGAGCGAACATCTAACCTCTGAACCACTTAGCCAGTAGCTAACAGCGTTAATGCCTAACTTCGATCAATTCACGGTCTTGCGCAACCTCATACACTATCTTCGGTAATTACTGTCTACACCCGAACAGGTTGGACTTCACTGGTCACGACTTCCCACTAGAGCTCGGAGAAGATTCCTCAAGGAGCTAGTCAATTATAAAATGATAGAGTCAAACAGGAAAATCAATCCTTCTTGATAATATAGATGGATGATTCTTAACAACTGTCACCCAAGCACAAAACCAAGGTCAACAATCTAGGTATTGATCGATCAAAACTATCCAACAACAGAATTTTTAAAAAAATGAATATTTAACTAAAACTTAAACATTATTTCTCAATTACTACTTGTCAATCTTAAAAAAATTTAACAAACAAATATCAATATATGAGAAAGAGATTATTTTTATCAAATGTTCATACGATCTGTCAGAATACGATCTCTCATATCTAATTTCTATTATTTTTCTTATTGAAGAAACATGAAACAGTAGAATATGATATATATAAATATTTTTTCTTCTCAAAGATTGATTCATTTGTCTGTTTTCTAGACTAACTAATCATTATTATTTCTTTTAACAATAAAAAAAATACTATACTTGTGTAATTCCTGAGATATGTAGATTATATATAATTGGTATGAGGTAAATAGGTTAAAATCTCCCAAAATAATTTATTGAAAAAAGTTTTCAGAAGTTGAGGAAAAGGCTCATATGTAATCAGTATCCACCACAGACTTTCTAGAATCATCTAGAGAAACTAAGATGTTATGTATGTGTTACAATTCGATGCCGTAAATATCAGATCATTGTATCAAGCTGACATTCAAATGACTTTGATTGTTTCTTTTTACGTTTAAAGATAAATTTTGAGAATTTGACGGATAATATTTAGGAAAGAAATAAAATGTGTAAAAACACAAACCTCCAAATCTCTGCCCCAAAATATCGTAACAGTGCTCACTAGTGACTAGCTTCGTGAGGAAACTCTCGGAGTTCTAGTTGAGAACACGTGACCCATGGAGTTCAACCCTGTCGGGTGTAGGCAGTAACTACCAAAGACAAATGGGTGAGGTCGCGCAAAACCCCTTGATCAATCAGAGTTAGACATTAACACCGTTGGATGCCGGCCCAGTGATCCGATGGTTAGGCGTTCGCGCACAATACCAAAGGTCCCCGGTCCGAATCCTGCGATGTGCAGGAGTTGTGGATGCGCACTGCCACTGATGAGTCCCATACCAAGACGAAACGGCCGTCCAGTGCTTCCAGATTTCTAATGGTGGTCTAACAATGATTGATTGATGATTTCAAATGTGTAAAAACACAAACCTTCAAAACTCTGCCCCCAAAAAGGTTTAAGTTTGCTATAGAAATATGTGCTTAATAAGTCTAGGTGTAAACACTTTTTTCCTAAATTAATAAAGATATTATGACCCCAGAAACATATTATCTCTAGCTGAAATCACATTCAATTTCGAATCTAGACTAATGATAGTGTAATTAATGGAGTTCATTATCAGTAAAATGCTATCGACTGCATAAATGAATTGGCTCGACAGCCATCCCAAAATGATAATAATAATAATAACCGATTACATTACTTTGAAGATCAGTAATATTAATAGGATAAAATATTATTTCACAAGTTTTTAAGTGCATATGATATGTGAATCGAATAAGAACGTTTCATTCTATTCGGAAATTAGTCAACTAGATGCAGTCAGTCAGTCAGTTAGACAGTTACAACGTAGAACTTCGTACGTACGTACATCAGTTCAGGTTGTCATACTGCATTAGCACAGAGACGCAACTGTCAGTTCAAATCCAATAGTGATAGCGATGAAGATAAGAGAGATGTTCGGAGGAGTAGGATGGATTTGTTTAAGACCGATTCGGTCTCGCGTGCTGTCACAGGTATGAGGGCGGATGTTACTTACCGGCCGCCAACACCATGGAAGAGTCAACTAGACGCACTTTCATTCCAGTATCCCCAGTTCGAGTTTAAGTATAGGCACTGGCATTCAAGTATACTCAGCTGACCAATCACAAATAGAGCAATATCCATATTCTATCTAGATTTCCCTGTGAGCATAAAATTTCATTTACATGGTAAACTGTAGCTCACCTACTATACTCACCCATTAATACAGATGAATAGTTAAGTGATACAATATACCATTTTATAATAATAATAATAATATATGTAAATAACTAAGGATATGAAATCAATTTAAAATTTTCGGTTAATTCACATTCAATAGGCTCATTGACACACGTTTTAATCAATCAACCGATAAGTTGAATTGTATAAAACAAAATCCTTAAAAATAATGAAAGATTTATTGAAAAGATTCTAAAAAGATCTCATACTTATTCAAATTTAATGATAGTGATATTGTTAATGTTGTTTAAAAAAGCCACCAAAAAAAGATAAGCTTCACCATTCAATCGCCAGACACCATCAGCAACAACGTACTGTGGAAGAGAACAAACCAGATTCGAGTGGATGAGGAAATCAGGAAGAAGCGGTGGAAGTGGATAGGACACACACTACGAAAAGCACCTAACTGCGTCACAAGACATGCCCTCACATGGAGCCCTCAAGGCAAAAGGAAAAGAGGAAGGCCAAGGAAAACATTACACCGAGAAATAGAGAAAAACACTACAATATTGAACAAAAATTGGACATAATTGTAAAGGGAAGCCCAAGACAGAGTTGACTGGAGAAAACTGGTGGGCGGCCTACGCTCCATTGGGGGTAACAGGCGTAAGTAAGTAAGTCAGTAAGTAAGTGAGTATTCAATCACCATCAACCTCAAAGAAAAGAAATAACAAAACCATGAATTATATTTATTATCACTTATAATTACATAATTAGATTTTATCAACAAGTACAAAGAAGCTAAGGCGTAAATGATACATTGGCGCTATTTACTTGATTGTTGCATTTATGCAAATATTGATTTGTACGCCATTACATGTTGAATGAAATAGAAGGAAATTATTATTATTATTATTATTATTATTATTATTATTATTATTATTATCACTATTTGATTGACTACAAACTGCAAAATGTGTAATGTAATGTAGTGTTAGAAATATGAAATACAATTTAAAAAAATCGTTTGAAAATTGTATTGTTGACAATGCTTAACTTCTGATTATCTTTCGATATCATATTTCATGAGTATTGAGAAAAATATGTATATGTAAAAACACACTCAGTGTTATGTAATATATATATATGAAGAGATCTGTTGTGTCAGAGTTGTAATTTGTAGTTGTTGAAAATTGAAGTAATCAAACCAACTAAGCTTTTATTGGTGGCAACAAACCAATTTTTTGCATCAGTTCAATGTTATACAACTGACCAGTGGTTGGACAAATGTATACACTGAGAAATTGTATTCAACTGATCAATGGTACCTTTGTACTTTCTTTCTTACCGGTTGGTAATAAAGTCAAACGTATTCTGGGTTGTACAACACAGGTGTTTTTATCCATATATATATATATATATATATATATATATATATATATATATATATGGCCCTATTTTGCTAAAGATAAAACTTGATGTTGAGACCGTGAATGCATACTGCTATCAAAACCACTACTAATTTACACCATTTATTAATAAAATATAAATTTAGAAAACAAGCAGAATGTACTTTAATGATAGTAGTATAAAGTCATCTAACTAGTTGTACAGGTCTTGAGAAAGACGATAAACTATGTAATGTGACTATACAACTCAACGACGTATTGAACTGACAAGAAAATGCTATCGGGTTTTAGATTTGAATCACTACTAACTCAACTATGGAATCCAGCTGACTACTGTAACTCAGTTTATACGTAGTTAAACAATTTTTATTTCAAAAAAATGAATATTCCGTAAATTTCAAAGAAAACTTGTTTAATAAGCGAAAAAAAGTCAAACTAATCAGAGAATACTGATTAACTATACTGAACATACGAAGACCAACTAACACTTTAGCTTCATCCACGTGGAAAAATAACTATACTGAACATACGGAGACCAACTAACATATTGACTTCATCCATTTGGAAATATAATCAATGAAATTCAATCTAATCTAACAACTCACTTCAAATATATTCATTGTAACTGTCACAGTCAGTCACTCAGTCAGGTACAACGTAGAACTTCGTACGTACGTACGTACATTGGTTCAAGTTGCCATACAAAATTAACATAGAGATGAAATTAGCAATTCAAATTCCATAGTGGTAGATGTAGTAGAAGTATTAGAAGTAATTGAGAAGATTAAGGTTCGAAGATATTATTCAAGAAGTATA